TGGGCTGAAACTAAAACAGGAAAACTGCAGGTTGGTGTTACGCCCGTGGGTAGCCTAAGCGTAATTTGGTCTTTTGTATGCCTAAGGACAATTTAGTTTATTATTATCATTATTATTATTGTGTATAAATATACCTTTTATGTTTAGTGTTAGGTTTAGATATGAGATTGTCTGTTGTGAGTCGTAGGTTTAGGGTTTGGGAGAGATTTCCTGATTCTCGAATTGTAGGAATTGGGAGAGATCGCTTATCTCTCGAATTGTAATTGCTTATCTTTTATATTTGAGTGAGTTATTAGTGTTGTGTTGCTTTAATTTAGTGTTCGGAAAATAAAATTTGTGTTTGCCCAAAATTTTATGGAAAGACGTATTGATTTTGACATCAGTTTGTATCAAATTAGTATTAGAGCAATAGATCTCTGGTATCTCCTTCGCGATTCAACTATCTAAGAGCAACTTTTTTTTGCTCGGAAGAAAAAGATCGTGGTATACCTCAGAATAGTCGCGGTAAGAGCTAGCTGAGAAAGCAACGTTGGGATTGCGGCTTACCAATGGAAGCTACGGCAAGTTCGCGACGTCTAGGTCGCGATGAGTTAAGCTCGTTGGCGACGAAGGATTGCGGCTTACCGAGGCTCGAAACTCCATCTTTCATCCCATTCCACGCCTTTGCATACAATTGCGATTAGAGCTAGCTAGGAAGGCTCTACTGGATTGCAACCTACAGGGGCTCCAAAACTCCCATCTCTCTTGTTCTCGCTCCATCCTGCATTAGAGTTGTGAGTTCAGCTTGCAGGGAAGGCAATAACGAGATCGCGACTTTTGTCTCCAATGAAGACTTACGGGATCGGCTTAGGGTGTGTTTGGGTCAAGGGTGTGGTGGTGCACTGCAGTTTTTCCTGTTTGACAATACTGTGGTTTGCTTGCGTTCGCAAAAAACTGCAACTGAAAGCTGAGTTTTCCCAATAGACTCGGCTACCTGCAGTAGCTGCTACAAAGCTCCGGTCTAAATTTTGTTTTTTTTAAATTTTTTTGTAATAGCCACCACAACATTTTAAATAACAGTCTTTTCTTCAGCAGCTTCACAACTGATTCTTCAAACAGCTGCAGCTGCCCTAAGCAGACCTTATTTACTGCATATAGAGATCGGTAACTCCTGTCCTTATGTTTCCTCTTAGTCTTTGCAACACAACCACAATTAGAGCTAGTGGAGGAAGGCCAAGTTTGAATCACGATGTCTAATGCTGCAAAATTTCGACCTAGCTAGAAAATATGAAGAAATTGTGTTGCAGGGTATAGTTGCATGTCTGACAAAGCAAACGATTGGAATTTCCGAAATTTCATAGTTGGCCCTGTAGAAAATTGCGATTTGAGCTTTTTGACTAGCATAGCCCGATTCAAACAATCAGAGGGCCGGAAACCACGATTTAACGAATCAAATTGGTTCGAATCTCACGATATAGAGGCGATTCAGACTATCTGGGAATTCATCGATGTCATTTCAGAGTATAGGTGCTTCCGTCTTCTGTGATCGAAAATTTTCTTGAGAGTAATGACAACTAAGAATGTAAATGATTTGGAGAAGAAATTTGAGGAAGAGACGAGTTAACTTAAATCCGAGATGGAAGAAAGGTTCATCGTCATAGAGGATATGATTTCTTCTATGAAAAACTGAATGTAGGACCGTCTCTAGGGGTTTTTTTCCATAGAGAGTCGAATGACAGACTGATTTGAGAGCCTTGAGGAGATGATAAATATGCTCATCGAGATACAATTCAAGACCCCTCAACTCTAACCAAAGGTTGATCGCAAAGTCCGAGACCATTCGAAAGGGAAAGAGGGAAAGAGATTGAATGTGAGGAACATGAGTAGGAAAATATCCGCCATCACGAACTTCCTCTAGGACTCCGACGGGGAGTGGATTCGAGATTTCTGATGGAGGGGGTTGGTCCGAAACATGAAGGAAGGGATATGAAAAGGGTTGGGAGGGGCAAAACAAGAAATAAGAAACATTATAATGAGGTATGACTATGATCGAAGGAGGGATTTTTATCTTAGATACATGGGGTAAAACGACAGAGAGAGAGAGAGGAAGTTAAGTTGGTGATGCTAATGTTAGGAAATTTAAGATATCGATCTTCGATGAAGAAGATGCACATGAGTCGGTATGTATGGTAAAACGATATTTTGCGGTGAATGGGCTAATTGGGATGGAGAAGCTCATGTCAGCTGGGTTGTGTTAGGAGCGAAAAGCCCTAGTATGGTTTCACTGGAAGGAGGTTATATACTTGATCCCTTTGTGGGATGAATTTAAGACTTGATTGTTAGAACATTTTTAAGCCATTCGAGAAGAAGAACTACACAAGTTATTCTATGCCTTAATTCAGGAGGGGACTGTCATGAAGTATAAGGAGTGATTCGTGTTGAGAATCCTCCAAAGAATTCTCAATGTCACGGCGAAATATGATTACATCATTCTAGAAAACCAGAACAATAAATTTAAACCAGAAACATATTAAAAAGATAACTAGAAATGAACACATGAATTTTACGTGGAAAAACCCAAGAATGAGAAAATACCACGGAGCTACACCATCACAAATTATACTATGAATTTCAGAGAGTTTTGTAAAGGATTCCCAAGAGCTTATTCTCCACACTTACACGAAGAAACATATAATACACTACTCCACACTCTTCCTACTGATCCGACACAGAAACACACATCGAAAAACACTAGAATCCTTCTCACCTTCACCAGGATTTTTTTTATGAACAATTTGGAAGAGTTACGCTCCAAGCCCACACATACGTTGTCTGAAATCGTGACATGAATAGAAGTTCTTGTGAAAACTGCTCCGGGAGAGCCTAGGGGCCCCAGTTCTCTAAAAACAGGCGCCCCGAATCCAAAACTTGGCACCTAGTTTGGATGCAGGACTTTCACTTTCTCGATCTGGGAGTACTCAATGAGGGCTTAAGCGCCCATAGCCTAACGTCTTGGCGCCAGGTGCATTGATTGTGTGGAAGCCAGTCTGCCTGCTGCTCATGGGCGCTACAATCAGACTCAACTAAAAATTCGAGCTATTGTCGAGAAGACTGAAGGGAATTTTTGAAGTAGGGTTGAACGAGAATTTTATGAAGGGTTTAAAACATGACACACGAGCAACACTCTGACTATTGAGACCGCAGGGATTGAGAGAGATGATGGAGCTAGCCCGGATGTTGGAGGACAAGAACCGGATGGAGAAGGCCAGCAAAAGTAGCATAGATGGAGCGCCCTACCGAACTACTACAACCACGACTATACAAAAAACTCAAACTGTGGATGTCCAGAGGTTGGTCGCACAGGACAGGAATTATGGATAATGACCTAGAACAACACTCAAGTGCCTTACAGAGACAAAGATTCAGGAGAATTGAGTCAAGATGTTATATTTTTCAGTGTAAAGAGAATTTTATCCCAGGAAACTGTATAAGGATCGAAAGTTACAAGTTCTCATAATGCATGATGAGGGGGCAGATGATGAAGAAATAGAGACTGTTGTGGCGGAGAAAAAAAATGTCTCACTTTTTTTCCACATTGAGGATAAGTTTTGTTTTGGGGGAGTATTGTTACATCAGTGCCTAGCCTAAGGGCAATTCAGTCTTTTATTATTATTATTATTATTGAGTATAAATAGACTTAGTTTTGGCATAAGATTGTTTGTTGTGAATCTTAGGTTTAGGGTTTGGGAGAAATTTCCTACCTCTCAAATTGTAAGAGCTGGGGGAGATCACCTACCTCTCGAATTGTAGGTTCTTATCTTTTATATATGTGTGAGTTATTAATGTTTTTTGCTTTGATTTAATGTTCGGTAAGTAAAATTTGTATTTGTTCAATATTTATGGAAAAATGGGGTGATTTTGAACCGGTTCATATCAGTTGGCTGCAAAACCAGCATCCTAGAAGTCTTTGGATGCATGGAAGAGATTACAACCCAGATCAATAGATTACAAGCACACCATCTGACAGAGATCAAAGGATACAGTACTCTTGTAAGAAAGAGCTTGAAGAAACAGTCTCTTTTCTTTTGCATAAACCAAGCCCAAAAATGCCTCAAATGAGCCCACAACAAACATATATATAGGTCCCAAGCAAAATAACCTAATACTAGTGATAATTAGGAAAAAGAATGAGACTAAAAGGCTGGCCATAGCACTAGGCAGACACATGAACCAGCCAGCAACTAAACAGGAATTCCTAGTTTAAGTGATCTTGATCTGCGTCTACGTTAACGTTCCGTGTCCCGCATCCCGCGCCTTGTGTCTCGTGTCAAGAGTATCATATTTGCTGATTTTACTATAATGCAGACTTAAGTAGCCTTGATACTGTTGTGAGATGAGCAGGTATATTCTTGTACAATTCAGGAAGGGGTTTTGGGAAGGAAACGTAGAGATATATCAGGCCTGAGTGTTGATTACTTTTGATGTGAAAGTGAAAAAAAAAAGAAAAAAAAAAGTCAAAACGGGAATCCTAATATCAGGCATTAGTTTACTGCAGTAGAGTAGTAATTGAAGAGGCGTGGAAAAGTATTACATCAATGCTTGCAACAATTAATTATCAAACTGAAACATGACCTGGAAGGTGCTCATGTGCTAGAGTTCAGTGCTTCAAACCATTGTTAAATTAAAGCAAATTCTTGAGTGAACGGCAGAATGTGGCAGCATTTTACTAGAATGATATATAAATCCCATCACACCAAACACAGGAAATGAAGGGCTTGGAGTTTTAAAATCCAGGAAATGGCTATAAGCACTATGATTTAAATTGGCAATCCTCACATAAAATTGTATGCTTTGAAATTCTTATGGTTACAATTTTTTTCTTGTTTCTAATTTACTTTTACTTTTCCATGTTGACATCTCCAACAAATTCATTCTGAATCCGTCTTTCAATTTTAGTGTTCACATGTTAATATTGATTTTAGTGGTTGTGTTGATTTTTTTTTCTCCTTCCTTTTGTGCAGTTGATGGCTCTCAAATCTTGTCATGATCGTAATATCACTCATAGGGACATTAAACCAGGTAGGTTATATTTCATAGCATTTTATTCTTGAATTAACCAATAGGGATATTGATAAATAACTCTGATTCTTTCCCTATGCTACAATTTTAATATCGTAATTAACTAAGGCAAGGTTTATTGCACTTAAGAGCAGCGTGTGACATGAGCCAGTTCTATCTCTTTCCTTGTTAAAGGGTGCATTAAAGTGTTGGATTGTCTATTATATAAAAATTTCATAATTTTTCTTTATGAAAATTTTGGGATAAATAAAGTTTGGCTTGCAACCTTATTGAAGATATTTGTTATTGCAAATTTAATTTTTATTTGGTCAAATAATCCTGAGCTGTAATTGGTGGAGTAACTTAGCATCAACAAAATGGTTATGAGTTATATTTCAAAAGGTTTATTTTTTTTTTCTTTGGGAAGGACAATTTTTATGTATTTTGTATGTTAGCTCTGTAATTTTGTATTGTTAAAGCCACACACTTCTGTAAGATTTCAGTTTTTCCAATTTGAAGTGAGGGTTCCATGGTTTTGGGGGAGGGAA